GTCTTTTATGGTACCCAGAGGGAGATCTTCCCCCCTGACGAGCATCTGCATGTGAGTATAATGCACCAAGCTTACATGTTTATATCGTCCATGGTGCTGCCCATAACAAAAATAAAATCATAAAATTAAATGTGACTGTACAGGCAGTGCTCACTACCACAAACGCGTGTTGTTCATTTTTTATTCACATTTATTTATTTGTGGTTTGATTTTTCTGATCATGTATTCATCTTTCAGTTTATTGCCCCTACTTTGTAATACACACTGTGTTCTTGCTGAATCATTCTGAAACAAAAGGATATATTGCACAATAAAACTACATAGCAGTTATCAGAGTACTATCTTGTAATACCACTTTTTTTTCTGCATTTTAATGTGTCAGATCACACTGACCATATTCACACACACACTTTCCATAATTTAGTGCCGAATTCCCAAGTTATTGTTGATCTGAGAGTGATTTATCTGTGTCTGAATGGTTCCTTAGCTGTCAGAAGTACTGCTTCACAGCACAATATTATAATACTGATAATAATAATGCGTTTTATTTGTAGGCACTTTTCAAAGGTACACTCAAGGACACCTTACAAGACACAGTTAAAAAAAATAAAAAAACAAAACAAGCAGCAATGTATCCAGAGATCATAAAATCAAAAAAATCAAAAAGTCCGTAAAAAATGACGAGACAAAAAAAAGTAGTTCTAAATAGTATAATGTTATGTTAATTATTGTTTTTTATTTGTTTACAGAGGAAAGAGTTGGAGGACTTCAAAGAACGAATGCGTCTTCGTAAGGAGCAGCGGATGTTAAAGCAGATTTCTGTGGAATCTGAGAACTGAGGATTGTGTGTCTGAAGCAGTGCGTAAAGTCCCAGCGATGAAGGATTATTTGGCAGAGTCCTTTGGGCAAAAGAAAACTGGCCAGACTGAAATCTCTAAGAAGTTAATGCATCTCAAAGATGTCTTTTTTTCTAGGGATTCATTGTGCCTAATATGCTTGTTAAATTTACACGTGTGGGTTTTTTCCACACAAGACTTTTCAAATGTTAGCCGTGTGTGTTTGAACGCTTGATCAGTTGAGTTGCTGTGTTATCACTGTCATAAAACAAATATTTGAGTTGTAAATCCAGTCGGATCTGTTGTGAATTTCATGATTTATTTTGTGAGATGATGCCATACCTATGAAATATATTCACCCTCATGGATTTTTTTCCCTGTTAAGTTTTTACATTATAATAGATTGGATGTAATTAGTCATTTTTTACACTCATCGAAAGAAAGATCTTAAAACCACAGTATGAAACAAATCTCCATAAACTGATTTGAATTAAACCGAAAATAAAACACAAAGTAACTGATTGCATAAATATTCAGCCCTTTCAAAATAATATTTATCAGAGGGGCATGTGGCAGCAATTATTGCCTTTACCCTACAATACAAAATCTGAGTAGTTTTAGTCTCATGTTCTGGGCTGTCTTTTGGGAAATACATTTTTCCTTAAGTCACAGTCCACTCACAGACCTCTGCATTTTCTTCTGTGACTGATTTGTATTTCCGTGCATTTATTGTAAATGACAGGCAGTTGGCTGCAGCAGCTATGTGATACTATGACATTAAATTATTTTTTTCTGTTTATCACTCGTAAAAGCGGAGTGGCATTCCATGTGTTTGTTTTGAAAAGTTTAGGAGGTGGGGGGAATCAGCACTTGGCTCTGATTATGTGTATACTTGTTAACATGCCATTGTAAAGTTATTTTTCATTAAAGTCACTGCTGGTTATGTTTCACCTATTGTAACAGAAGCAGTGATTCACCCATTGGATGTGTTTGTGGTTAGATATGAAGGTGTATCTGCATTCTATGTCCATCCCTTTTTAACCCCACGTGAAAGGCATCACCTTGTGACCAGAGGATTGCTGGTTTGACCAGCAGCCAATGTTTTGCGTATGAACAGGATAAGAATGACTGACTTTGGCAGAGACATTGACTATTTAAATGAAGTGTGACTGGAATGTACTTCCTGGTACAAGGCACAACAATGGAGTTCTCAAGTAGGTAATTCAGTAACTCAAAATGTCTCAACCTTTGGAATGAAGTGAAATACTGATCATGTTTTTCCATATTTTATTTTATTTAGTCTTTATTCTTACCATGAATATTCCCATTGAGATTAAAAATCTATTTTACAAGGGTGTCCTGGCCTAGACAGCAACATAAGGAGTTTCACATTAAAGAACAAACGACAGACTTGAAGGTCCAGTGTGTAAGATTTTAGGCAGGGGTGTCAAACTCATTTTAGTTCAGGGGCCACATGCAGCCCATTTTGATCTGCAGTGGGCCGGACCAGTAAAACCATTACATAATAACCTATAAATAACAACACCTTTAAATTTTTTCCATTTTTTTAAGTGTAAAGAAGTTCCATTTGAGAGCAGTCATCTGTTTATAAAACAGATGACTGACTGATGATGATCAGACCATGATAGCCTCAGAAAAATATGTGCAAATTCAACAGTATGTCTAGATTTTTCCACATTCAGTCAGTCTACTACTCACTGTCATTCCATGTACATTAAAAAAAAAAAAATAGAAGTTTTGTCAGTGCCTCAGCAGCAGGATCCACCAAAAATAGTTTTTAGATAGAAGTCTGATACAGATTATTTTGTACTGTACTGTTCAATGTTCAATATCTTTAGATATGATCACAGTAAGTACTCATTGTTATTTCAGAGAGCTGTGTTCTGGTTGGAGTGGCAAAGCCTCTGAGGCAGCATTTTACATGAAATACTCACTGTTTAAACATGACACATCTTAGCCTTCAAACATGCATCAATATTAGATGTGCAAAGTTATCTAGTGGGCTGGATTGGACCTTTAGCGGGGCTGTCCTGGCCCCTGGGCTGTAAGTTTGACACCCCTGATTTAAGAGGACATATTGGCAGAAATGGAATGTAACATTGACAATTATGTTTTACTGGTGTTTAATCCCCTAAAACTAAGAAATGTTGTGTTTTTGTTACCTCAGAATGAGCTGTTTATATGTACTGTACATACAGAGCCACTGAGTTCACCATGCTGTTCTATAGTGGCCCAGAACAGACAAACCAAACACTGTCTCTAGATGGAGCCATTGGCTTAAAGCTGCTTTAGTTCTCCTACTCACTTGGCACATGCGGGAAGTTTCAGCTCTGTTACCTCACCACCCCACTAAATCCTACACACTAAACCTTTAAAAAAAACATCAAACAATGAATTGGCAGTTGCCAGTAACAGAATGTGCATTCAGTGGTCTAATAGTCCTTAATCCTGTTTTTATAATCTTCCATGTTCATAAAATGGTCTAGTTTAAGGTGACTGATGCAAAAACATGTCATACCCTCACATAATTCCTGGGAATGTTGATGCTTTTACTGTAGTTTATAAAAGAGGAATTCCCAGCATGTGTGTACACTGAAAGTGCATGTGTATATGTATTTAACACCCTATATGGATGTGGAATGATAGTGCTATGAAGCTATAGTGCAGATGATTCTTGTCTGTTAATTTGGCCCTGAATGCCACTACAGTTAAGTGCTGATTGGAGTGCAAAGGCAACAATAACACTTTTTCTCACTTACTACAGCAGTTCCTAACACTCCCTCTTCTATTTAGAAGGACACACAAGCCATCAAAATAGGCATGCCTCTTAACCACTCAGATACTACTTTGTCTAACCTTTAAACTGGGTGGAAAACAGATTTAAATATGTAATTTTCTGAGGAGATGTGGAAAATAATTTAAAAGAGTTTCAAGAAAGGGAGATTAAAACAGTACTGGTCCTGTTAAAGATTATAAATAACATTTACAGGACTCCTTCGTAGATATTTAGAGCGAACCTGAGGGAGAGACCTGAGTGCTGGAGATGTAATGAGAATGACAACACACTGGTACACCTTCTGTGGTCCTGCCAAAAAGTGCAAGATTATTGGACAGCTTTTCATGAAATTGCTCATTGGTGAGGATGTTCTATTGTCTCCCTGTTTGTACATTTTAGGTGATCCCCTACCACTGGATGTTCTCCCCACATCAGATGCAGATTGGATTTGTGTGGTTTAGTCAACAAAGGATTGTTGCAGCATATGAGAAATCGTCTCTCTATCGCATTGACTAGGTGGAGAATTATGCTCAGAAATGGGGACGTTGCACTGTCTGTAATGATCTGATTGTGAAATGTGTTTGTATCGTTATTGTACCATTAGTATTGGAAGTGACCATACACTGTTGGTCGTAGAGAGTAACAGTTCATAAATCATTTTGATATGACATACCAATCAGATAACTACATGATGATCCTCTTCAGACCAGCACTATGTATGATCTCCTGAGTATGAAAACATGGCAGAGGGCTGTGCTTGGCTTGTCCAGACAATCTCAAGTCTTGGATGTGTCCAATCATACTTAACAAACCACTGAATGTCATATTTATCATGCTGAAGCGATGACATGTTTCCCCAAGGCTCACCAGATGATACCCTCAAATATATTTTGGCAAGGACAAATGGCCAGTTGGACGTCTCACACTCTGTCTCCTGAGGCACTGGCAAGAGGGGATTTGTATTTCCTTTCTTGCAGCTGTTTCTTTATCATGGCTGATATTAATTTCAGAAGAGGGTATTATAATAGTTTATGATGTGATTGTGTGATAGTATTGCTGGTGTGATAGAAGCCAAGTGATGATATTTAGATGTAGTTAGTACACCCGTCAACAAAACTGTTGTAGTTAGTGACAATGAATCTTTAAAAATGGCCAGGAATTGCACTGGTTTAATTTAGGACTGAATCAAATTGGAGTAAATGTGGCTTTAACTGATTTTCCCTGCATGTTTTCTATTTGTTGTCCAACTATACACTGAATATTACAGCACAAAAGCGCATGGGATATGTAGTTACCAGTGTCAGACGATAGGGGGCGATATTTGGCTATGAAAAGCAGTGTGCTGGAACCATTCAGGCTTTAACAACAAGGAAGTGACCGAGTAGCCATCAGACTGCTGTCAAGATGGCACCGAGTGGGCTGAAAGCGGTAGTTGGAGAAAGTAAGTGACACATTTGTTGTATCTTTTAGAAGTTTATCACAACTAAAAGACACATGTAGTTTGTTAGGACTGGTCTTGTAGGAGCTCGATAAACGGAAGCTCTACTTTTAGCATAAAACTGCTGCGGACGTTGGTCCACCTAAAGTCTCTCTTCCTGCTTGTGCCCCAATTATAATGCTAACAATACCTATAAAAAATGTTAAGGTTAACAAAGCCATTGATAAGAAGTGGTAGTCTTGTGTTGTAAGTGTCGGTAACAATATTTGCAGTGGCGAAATGGTAGTTTTGTTGTGATATTTAGCGGATGTATACACAGAAGTGACAGTGACAACCCAAGTTTTAGGCTAACGCTAGCTAGCTAACGTTAAAGGAAGTCCGATCACTTGGCCTCTCAGCCGGAACAGTCAGGCTGTAAACAGGTAAATAAAAACACAACCTTTGTTATAAAAGGTTCGTAAAGTTACATATGTTTTAATATTAACTCAGGTGTCTTGTTTCGTTTAACAAATAATTATTGTTTCAACATCAATATTGCTTTTAAAGTACTTCTTAAAGAAGCATAACGTTAGATAAAATAATTATAAACCAATTCATTGTGTCATTTTGGATTTATGTAATGGTTATTTAACATTATAACCGTTTTTGCTGCATTTTAAGTATTGTAATTAAGTGTTTAAATTGTTCTAAACAACTTAAAATGATGAAGGTATATTTCTTTGATCACTGATCCATCCTTGTGACCAGGTCAAGGTTAAGCAGGTGTATTACACAAAGTGATTAAAATCCTAAGGTGTGTACCTGTAATATAAGTAACCCTGATGGGGGGTTACAAGGGTTGTACAAGGCCCCATAACCTATTTCTTTTTGTGAGATTCTGCAAAAGTGGTTTGAAAGGTTGCATATGGACAAGTCTTAGGAGCTTGTGTGTGTGTGTGTGTGTGTGTAAATATATATAAATAATTGCCACCAGCCACACAAGTAGTCATCTTTTCCAGTTCCCTGTATGCAAATAGGTTAGGCATTGCACGATGAGACATTCGTGAGCAATGAATTTTCCACTTGGTCCAAAATATTTCATGGGAAAAAATGAAAATTATTAGTTCACTCTTTTGCATTTACATTTGTTGTCAGATAGTCTTGAACAGGGTTGTAGCTGTACACTGTTGTCAAGGTAAAACATGGTATGAAAATTGATGGTTATCATGCCGTGTACATTTGCTTATCTATGGCATTGAAAAAATGCAGCTGGATGGAGGATCTCGCCATTATTTCAGTTATTTTAAAGAAGGAGACTGTCTACACATCCTTCCATTAAGACTATGGTTTCAAGTTTTGATTAAAATAATAAAACATTTGTTCAACCAAAGGAAAGACCTTCTGTTTTCATTCCTTTACAGGTCATTGTAGCTGATAATACCAATTCTGTAATGACGTGATACTGTGAAACTGCGATGATCACTGTACCATGAAAATCTCGTACTTGTGCAACCCTAGTCTTAAATAATTCTGTCAGACAGTTCTGTGTTGTTGATCATATGTTGGTACAGGTTAGATTATAATTTTGTTGTCCTATCTCAACAGTCTTCCCGACCCACAAACAACTATCTTGTAGGCCTGTCCAATGAATCATTTATAAACCCCACCAGCACCGGATATTATTTTGGAAACAAGTCATGACATAGTGATAACAATGACTGCTGACTGCTGATTTAAACTCATGCCACCCCACAACCTGCTGTTTATTGTGTTATTTAGCAAGTGAGTTGATGTAGTAATAAGACTTGCAACAACTGATCACATGTTTTAGGGCGTCACTACTGTGTTTCTAATGAGGTTAAGCAAGGAAGTTGAGTGATGAACATGATATCACAGCAGTTTAAAATCTTCATTTTTTGATGTGCACTATTAAAGAGAGGACTGTTTAGCTCAGGTGGTTAGTCACCCAGTGTCTGACGAGTAGACAGTGGCCTAAACAATAGCCACACTGAACATAATGACTTCTGCTGTGTGAAATATTGTCTCTGCTCTTTGCGCTGAAGTATGATATCTGATATCAGCGCATTTTAGGCAAGATGCTCCACCTCCACAGCAGTAGTATCATACCTCAGCCGTTGTGCCTATGAAGTCACTGGAACCATGATGCTTTTGTCTGAGCTTCACACACTGTAATCTGAACAGTATAGCACAAGGAAGTTGCACCCAACTAACAGAGTTGGTAAATACAAGTGCTAAATATGGGTTTGCTTCAAGAAAGTTCCTGGTTCCTGGTTTAGAGAGTTGAAGACACATGTCGCAACATCTCACATTGATATTTCACTTGCTCTAGTCTTGTTGTATGTCCTTGGAGTGATTAAACTGAAGCTATTAAGAAAATAATTCAATTAATTCTACACATACATATTACCTTTGCAGCCACTGATGCACAATAGATTAAGTGTATTTCACACAATAAAAACGACCGATAGATAGGAGATAACCATCACATAAAATAATAAAACATTATGGTGTTAAGTTAGTCATTGAGTCATTGCTAAAATTCCAACACTTGTTACCTCTTCTACCTAACTTTTTCTTGCAAGAAAAGTTTTTGATAGTTCTGTAATCATACAGGATCTTTTTTTTCTCTTCTACAGAAATCCTAAATGGGGTCATCAAGAGTGTGAAGAAGGATGGAGAATGGAAGGTAACACTTGTCCACTAAGATTAGAGAAGTCCCCTGTTTTTGTCATACTGAAATTGTAACCCTGTGTTTTGTGTTTCTTCAGGTTCTTATTGTGGATCACATGAGCATGCGGATTCTGTCCTCTTGCTGCAAGATGTCTGACATTTTGGCAGAGGGGGTCACCAGTAAGTATTCATATAATTCGTGGTCTTGCATCCTCTGTATTAACTGTATACATTAGGGATCAAACTTTAAAAGAACTAACAAATATCATTACACTTTTTTAAAGCGTTGGTTAACTTTGTAGTTGCATATCGATCAAGTCAAATTTTTTTAGGTTGAAGCAAAATACCTCTGTTTTCTCCTTTTTCAGTTGTGGAGGACATCAACAAACGCAGGGAGCCCATCTCCAGTTTGGAGGCCATTTATTTGATTTCACCTGTGGAGAAGGTTGGCCGCTGCTATTCCCTGCTGCTTTTCCCTCCGAGTCAAAACTCTTAGTGCTCAGAGTTTTTCTTATAATCTTTTTAACCAAAACTTGTTTTCAATTACAGTCGGTCCGTGCCCTCATTAACGACTTCAAAGACTCGACCTTCACTTACAAAGCGGCACACATCTTCTTCACTGATAGTAAGTCTGTCTGTGTCTGTGCACAGTGAACTGTACAAGTTTGCATCATTAATTTTATGTTTAATTTCCCTGAAAAACATGCAACCTGAAGGAAGCTCATTTATCAGTTATTTTCAAATATACAGTGCAAAATATTTAAATTTTCAAACCATATCAAAAAATTATATTAAACCGTTATCATTTCTAAATTTTTAAAATCTATTTTTGCTTCCATAGCTTGTCCAGATGGTCTCTTTGCTGAAATTGGGAGATCCAGAATTGCCAAGGTCATCAAGACTTTAAAAGAGATCAATGTCGCTTTCCTGCCATATGAGTCTCAGGTAGGAAATTATTTCCCCTTTACTTAAACCAACCTCGATTTTTTTTTGGCTACTTAGTGATTCAGTTTTGTTTTGGTTGTTATTTAGCTACCAACAGCTTTTGACAGAATTACCTGGCTAACTGCTAAATGCTCAACAGCTAGTCACTTATTTTGTCTGTGTGATGTTTGTTGCTGGGCAGGTAGCATACAGTGGGTTTATCAGAGCCTTTTCACTTTAACTGCAGACTGCTGAGGCTGGAAAACAAGGTTGATCAGAGAGTTAAGAATGAAACAAGACCATAAAGTTTGCGCTGAAAGACGCTAAAATGCTCCGCTAGAGCTGAGAAGAGCTTTAGAGTGGGTTTCTCTGTGGGCTTGTCAGTACGAGTGACACCTTAAAGGCAATATTAATTTCCATTGTAAATGGAAAAAAAAAAAGAATAGTGGAGCTTGATTGTTGTGAACATGATATGGTTAAATTGAGGCAAATATCAATCCATTTCCTCCCTGCAGGTGTTCTCCCTGGATGATGCAACCTCCTTGTACTCCTTCTACAGCTCTAAGCCAAATGAAAATAAAGACAAAATGATGGAAAATCTGGCAGAGCAGATCGCGACCCTGTGTGATACTCTCAAGGAGTACCCTGCAATTCGTTACCGCAAGTATGGAAGCCTTGCATGAAACTACTCTGAAATCAGAGTAAGCTAATTATTTTACTGATTCTGTTGTGTACGTCTCTGTCTCTCAGGGGACCAGAGGAGAATGCTAGGCTGGCTGAAGAAGTCTACCAGCGCCTCACTGCTCACAAAGCTGACAACCCAAGCATGGGAGAGGTAAGGAACTGCTCAGACCAACTTACGTGCTCTACTGTATAAATGAAATTCTTGTATTCTGAATACTTATACTGCTTTTTTCTGCTTCTGTATAAGAGGGTACACTTTCTTTGGGATTCTGCAGCTCTTCACAGGTTGTGGACTTCTCTGTGGTTTCTGGTTTTTATTCCTTGTTGGTTATTTTCTCATGCTTTTCCTGGATCTTTCCCTTCTTCTGTTCTGTCTTTCTTAGCTGACATTTCCTTGCTCCTGAGATGGGCCTTATCAGGCATGTATTACTGTTCTCCTTTTGCTCTCCATACATCTGAAGTATGTTACCATGCTGTGCTGCATTCTCTTTATTGTTTTACTGGACTTGACAAGTTTGCTGGAGTCCTGCTGCATGCCTCATCACACACAGACACTGAACCCCTATAGACAAAAGCTGATAAGACTTTCACGGCATGACAGATTCACAAAAACATAACAAAGAGCCTTATAATTCATGTGTACTATAGACCTTACTAATTTGTTATCCCTTATGTTCATTGTTTTAGGGTGCAGACAAGGCGAGATCCCAGCTACTGATTGTCGATCGTGGCTTTGACCCCATCTCGCCTATTCTACATGAGCTGACCTTCCAGGCAATGGCCTACGACTTGCTAGATATCAAACAGGATATCTATTCGTGAGTGAACATCTTATTACATATAGACTGCTGTTCATTAGTTTTGCCACGTCTGTCATGGGCATCACGTTTATTCCTAGTCAACTGTGCTGTACTTGTTTTATTTTTAAAGTTACCAGACAACTGGCATCGGGAATTCAAATGACAGAGAAGTGTTATTGGACGAAGATGACGAGCTTTGGGTTCAGCTCAGACACATGCACATTGCTGATGTCACTAAGTAAGTGTGTCACAAGGAGATGAGAAAATCACTCATGTCACATCTCCACATGACCTGGTTTCACTGTCATCCCTCTCAACAAGTTCTGTTCGTTGCTTTCACCTGGTTTTATGTTACAACTTCAAAACACACACTTACCCCATACCTCATATTTGGTGTAGAATATAAAAAGAATGAATTAATGTATGATAATCATATTGTAAGAAAATGTATATATTTTTAAGTGGCTTAAAGATTTGATATCAATTACTCACCATGTTATCTTGAATTCAGAAGAAAGAAAGCTTTGTTTTCTGCGTATGACTCCATGGTGAACGGAGAACCAAAAAAAGGCGAACATTCTTCATGAAGGGATGAAGGGATGTAAACCGGGAACGTGTTTCACAACAGTAAAACTACATCAAAACATCCTTTTGCAATTTCTCACATAATCCATGCAGTGTAATCCAAGTGTCATTTATGTAGTCGTATGCTCAGTACTTTCCCAAATACATGCAGTTTTGCTAAAACATTATAATTTAAAACATGTCAATAGAAATAGTTTTATACACAGCTGAGTAGCATGGGTTATTTTTTGGAGTTTTAGCGTGAAAGGGGGATGGAGAGAGGGGGGGATGACATGCAGCAAAGGGCCACGGTATGGACTCAAAACCACAGCCACTATGGTAAGGACATGTCCTTTGTACATTTGGCACCTGCCCTACCAGATGAGCAACTTGGCACCCCACACGTGCGCTTTTAAACTTAAGTAGAGCTTATACGCACACACATGCTCAGGCAAGCTCTGGGCTCGCTACTCGTAGGTGGAATTTTTTATATTGGAACATTTTAGCGACCCCAGTTTACTTCAATTCATGAAGAATGTTTGCTTTTTTTGGATTCTGTGTTCATTGTCGAGGCAACGAGAGCGAAGTTTTCCTCACAAATTAAATGTAACACTCGATGAGTAATTGATATACGAATGGTCATTTTACAGGTGAAGTATTCTTTTAAGGGTAAAACTTTGGTCCTCAAAAGTACTTCTGCACAAGGGGACTAATCATTTCCAAAACCCATTGTTGTAGGAAAGTGACGGAGCTTCTTCGCACCTTTTGTGAAAGCAAGAGAATGTGCACTGACAACGTGAGTGTTCATGTGGAGTACTCATTTCTGTTCAGTTACTATTACAGATGTCCATGATATAAGATGAAGACTATTTTTTATGTTCTTATTCAATTTTGTGGTGAAAACGTTTGAATTTCAGGCCAACATAAAAGATCTCTCTCAGATGTTAAAAAAGATGCCACAGTACCAGAAGGAGCTGAGCATGGTGAGTGGGATAAAAAAACAGCCGACTCTTTGCCATCAGTATTATCATCTGATGATAATTTTTTCATTGTAAGCAAGTACTCTCTGAACTGTTTAGGAAGAGGACTATACAGTAGATTACAGTCTAAAATAAAGTATCTACATTCTAGTTAATTTGCCCATACGTTGACTGTCTATCTCTACAAGAATGTCTCTTTCTTATCAGCGCAGAAGCTACAGAAAGTTTTTATCTCATGTTGGAGTCGTCAGTCTTGCCTGTAGCTTTGAGGAAAAATGTTTTACAGGATTTACATATCATATGTTTTTTGTCATAATAACAAATATATTAATAAATAAATAATCACTGCTCATTTTCATTCACAGTACTCTACTCACTTGCACCTAGCCGAAGCTTGTATGAAGAAATTCAAGGCCTCTCTTGATAAGCTTTGTGAAGTGGAACAGGTCAGTACAGTTAAAATGAATCTTTATTTATTTTTTTTTTTTGTGTGATGAAAGTATCACTGTCATTTTAACCCAGCTATTAGGACACAAACAGCTCTCATAGATTAAAAAAATATCAATTTTAGGTCCAGTTCATGACATTTACAGTTTTATTAGTAAGTAAGTAAAATTTCTTTGTATGGCGCTTCTCACAGACATATGTCACAAACTGCTTGACAAGGGCGTTTACAACACACAAAAACAAAGCCAAAGAGGGTGAAATGACGACCGGAGACATGTATTTAAAAGTGCAAAACTAAGAGCACAGTACATAAATACTGAGCTTTTAGTTTAGGGGTAATGTGCGACCAGCTGTTTGACCTAGTGAGTAGTTTTCTGGCAACATCCTGAATTGCATGCAGACGATCGAGCAGACATACTAAGTGAAGAGAACAGTGCATCACTGTAGTCAGTGTGAGGTGAGATAAAGGCAGCATTAAGCATCTCTAGTTCAGCAGTTGAAACTACAGATCTCAGTTTAATAATGTTTCTTAAGTGAAAAAACAAGATCTGGTCAGCTGCTCAACATGTGTCAAAAGACAACTGATCAAATATTACCACTGAATTGTGCAGATTTGAGTGTGCAGCAGAGGAAAGAGCCCCAATACTTTGCCATCCACTCCCTAGTAGTGTTATAATATTAATATTAAATGTGTTTATGATCTGTTTTAAGGAGCAGCAAATGTAAAAATAACAAAGGTCCCAGAAGTGATGGCAACTTAATGAGTGACACTATCCTGTACATTTATAGTTGGAGGTATAAGTAGAAACATGATCTCTTGATGCCTGAGGAGAAAAGCACCATAGATGACCATTAAATCATTATTCTTGGAATTTGTCTGCTCATGCATTGTTGGCAAAACACATCAGTCTGTAGTTTTTATATCTCAGTGGATCAACTAAATGCCCCACCATGTTAGTCACTGGCAGTAAGTATCTTAGAGGGGATGTCAGACGTAGAATTATACTCCGCCACTAACTCTGCACACTAAGCGACCTCAGTATGATGGCGTCGTTATTTATAGCTGTTGTGGAGTATGCTCAAAGCCACTGGTCTTGTGATATTTAATGGGGAATCATAATATTGCATAAGAAGCTTGGGACCGGATATCAGCATCTATATATCTACAGAAATGCGGAAGAAGCTGTTATGTCATTATTGAGTCAAGTAATAACACGTATATGGACTACTTGGTAATGTAGAAATCCGTCAATCAACATCAGCCCGGGATAAAGCCACGGTCCAGACTAGTGCCAAGCCCCAGTGTGTTGTTTGTATGAGCCAGACATGCTTTTGTCTCCCTGAGGGGGAGTGTGCTCTATCACACTTAGTCTTGTATCAGATGAGCCGCAAGCACACAGGAAATGATAAGCGATGCATGGTTGTGGCATTATGAGACGCAAGTGTTAATGGGGCCTTTTTGTATGAGTGAATCACTCAGCTGCACTAATGGATTGTCAGCATGTCTGAAAGCTGCCTCTTTAATCCAGTGGGCATGCTTTGGCTCAATGATGGACAGCGTGATCCAAACAGCAACAGCTCTCTGTCAGCTGTCGTTTGTTTTAGTGTTCTGCATTGTTTGGGCAACCCAATACAAATGTCTGTGTGATTAGGTTATAAACAAAACGATGTGCTGTATTTTTATGTGCTCATAAAAAGTTTCGTCGTTGATTGGCCCTAACAAGGCTTAGACGGAATACTCATAAAGCTTAACAAGAGTTTTTAGGGAGCTCGCAGAGTGCCCAGGATTGCATTAAAGGGAAATCCCAAAGCTAGTGTAAGTATAAAAGCCCAAGTTGAGAAGCCAATACTTGTCGTTATTTTTGACATAGTTAATGGATTATCAATGCTACTCCGGGGGTTTACTGCGCAATCTAGGACGGTTTTGTCTACTTATTTATTTCAAATGTAAAAAAAATAAAACAGCAAGAATAACAAAAAATGAACAGTAAAACTAAAGCAAACTCTCAATATACAAATTGTCATAAACAACATAAATATGCCATGAAAGAGAAGAAATTGTTGGAAAAGGTTGAGAGGCGACTCATCTTCCTGTGTCAGCTGCTCCCTGAGTCGTCTATCAGCTGACTTAAGTTGTAATTGGTGATCAAGATTCCTGTTAAAGTTAATAGTTAACCACATGTTTCTTCCACAGGACCTGGCAATGGGATCAACTGCAGAAGGGGAACAGCTAAAGGACGCCATGAAGAGCATTGTCCCTGTTCTCCTGAACAATGAGATTGAGGCCTATGACAAAATCCGCATCATACTGCTGTACATATTCCACAAGAAAAAAGGTGTGCCCTTAATAACTTAATGACTGACCCTTAATTCGAAGGGTTAATGGGACCAGGGGATTTAATAAGAAGTGAATAGCAGAGAGTCAAGTGTTACCATTGCCCTCACTGTTTTTAAATATGTGGTAATCCATGCAGGCATCGGGGAGGAGAACCTTGCCAAGCTCATCCAGCACGCAAACATACAGGCCGACAGCAACATCATCACCAACCTGCAGAATCTGGGCTGTAACATCATAGCTGGGGTAAATTTCCTGATTGCTACAGTCTTAAATGTAAATCAATACCTTCAGTATTGTTACATATATATATATTTTTTTTGTTTGTTTGTTAGGGCCGCAATGCTGGGAAAACACTGTCAGACAGGAAGGAGCGCACAGAGAGCACATACCAGCTCTCCAGATGGACGCCCATCATCAAGGACATCATGGAGGTACTAAAGCTAAAATGAGATTTTGAAGTTGCTGGCACACCTGAGACCTGTACTACGATGCCAGTTCAACTTACCAGGATATCTTTTCGTTATCAGGTTTGACAAACCCTAACATTGTCAGTCTGCGTAAGCAGTGCTACAAAGCTGATTAACAACTAGCTCCGTCAGCTCTGGGTTTTCCTTTCCAGCCACGAGCTCGTTCATGTGAAAAAGGCAGGGGTGTTAATTACGAGCGACATCATTAGAACCATGGATGAAGTAGCCTGAGTCATATGATATATATGATGAAAGGGTACCGAAAGTGTCTGTGACTCCAAGACAGTGAAATGTCAGTGACGCGGGATGTAAAGGATACTCTGTAATCTTATAACAAAAAATATGGAAACACTGAGAACACTATCCAAAAATACACCATAGGCTGAGACTTTAAATACGTGCAAGTGTCACTGAGCTATAAAAGTCTAATTAACAGTGTGTGGATTATTTTTCTAATAAAATATTATCTGTGTTATCCTAGTTCTCATCATGTAGGTGTCTCATGTTATTCTGAGCTGCAGTGATGGAATCAGAGTGTAAAAGAAGCAGCGCTGTCAGCGATCACTGCAGACTAAAGTAAAGTTTGCAATTCAGATGCAGCTAAAATCATGTGTTTAGTGTTGTAAACAATCTCTTGTTTGTTAGAAGCTCTGTTTAAAAACCAGTGGAAAAAGAGCCCTGGAACAATAAACCTACTCTACTGACCTATAACAATATATACCCTGAAGTTAACCTGCTCCGGAGCAGGTTCTGCACAAGTTACCACAGCGATTTCTCCCAGTAAAAAGATAACCAGCTTCCTAGTACTGAAAATCCAGAGTTAACCCTGAGTTACCTTGCTAACTTCAAATCCTGCTTTGTAGTGCAGGCCTCTGCTCAGTTTTGCCTTCAGCTTTCTCGAACGATTTGTGTTTATGTATTGTAGAATGCCATAGATGACAAACTGGACAGAAAGCAGTGGCCATTCATCTCTGATCCTGCTCCCATCAACACAACTCAGACTGCAGTCAGGTGGGTGCTGGAAACAGGAAGGAAAAAATATATATGAACTGCACATTGTTGCTTTATACAGTCCATGACGTATATAAAGGAGTAATTGGTGAATGGTTAACAAACCAAACTTTTTCAAAACAAGACAAGAAGAAAAACAAGTCCCATGTGCCCTTTTTGTTTCAAAGTGATGTCAGTCTAAAACATTTTTTTATTTTAGCAACAACAATATTAACCAGGGTAGCAGACAGATTAAGGTTGTCAAATAAAAGCTTTTATCCTTGTGACGGAGTTGGAGCCAAGCTTTTGACAAAGTGAGTTGAAAAGGTGAAATTAGGCCAGTTTTGCTTTAAATAACCTTTAATCCCCCAGGGAATTCCTCTCATGATGATAGTGCTTATACAAACCACTCTCATGAACCTGAGTTCACTCATAATCTGCATTATGCACAATGCTTGTCCTCCTTTGTTTTTAGCAAAGTGCAGAATTAAAACTGAGTAGTCATAAATATTCACACTAGAATATAGACTGGCAATGTAAAACCAGACATGGCAGTTCCGGTTATGATACTGATTAGCAAAGGTTCCTACATGAAACTGCTCACAACAAAGTCTGTGGATTATCTTGAGTAACCAAGTCATGATTTTGGGAAAGAGACATGGACCTAGGGTCTAGACACCATGTCTGCAGGGTTACTTCTGGTTCCAAAGATACTATACCGAAAGTGTTAAGTGGAAATGGGGCTTTATATTCCAGAGTAGGCAGATAGCTCCAATACTTGGCAACTCGCACCAAAACAGTCTAGATTGATAAATAGCGCTACAGGTAAGAGGCAGAATGTGTCTTTTTGATCTCTGGTTGAACTGTCCCTTTAAACTTGGTGTTTAGCTAACACAACTGTTTGGCTGCCCACACACATGCCTTAAGTTTCAGAAGAAAATACTTGTCGCTCAATTACTGTTTTAATTCCTTTACAGCAGCGCACGTTTTGGACACTGGCACAAAAATAAATCTCCAACAGAATACCGCACTGGCCCTCGGCTTATTATATTTGTGATTGGTGGGGTGTCACATTCAGAGATGCGCTCTGCATATGAAGTCACTCGAGCCACCGATGGGAAATGGGAAGTGCTGATTGGTAAGGAATCACTGTTTAGGAGGCAATGTCTGACCCAAAAGTACAGCATTCATTTTTTTTTTTTTTTTTAAACAAATACCACTTTCTTCTCGACAGGGTCCTCTCACGTCATGACTCCAACCAGCTTCCTGAATGACCTGAAGAGTCTCGACCAGGTTCCTAATCCTGATTGTTAGGTGGTTTTCTGTCACAGCATCCCTGACGTCTGAAGTGAAATCTTAGATGTAGCCATGGAAGGAAACATTTGTGATTCTTGATTTTGTTTTAGTACGGTCCTTTTTATTGTGTGTTGTGAATTGGGTTCTGTATACTGCTGTGATTGAAAAAATGTATGAAAATATTTAATTAAACATTAATATTTAGATTATTTTACTATTCTATTTTGTTACTACAATATACACGTGTGTGTGATTGTCCCTAATTTTGTTATTAAAAAATGCATTATTCCCACAAAACTGGATCATCTCACGCCAAAAATCAAGTCTAATGTAGATGTATATAAGTCAGTAGAAGTTGTATCATATATCCAGTGATATGAAGTGTGGAATACCTTTTTTCTCCAGGTACCTTTTTCTTTAATGTCTGGGAAATTTTACCTTAGACAAAATGTCTCAACTGCTGTCTTACGAAATCTTGCACATTTACCAAATACGTTAATATATTGCTGGGAGAAAGTGTGGTGGGTGTTTGTTTCTTTGCTGTTTTAAATGAGAAATAAAAGAAACATGATATTCACTTTAAATTGTGTCTTGTGCGTAGTGTTCCAGAGGACATTCATTCATTCATTCAGTAGGCATAAAAAGTTGTTTTAAATGTGTGACCAAACGATTTCAACTCGCTACACGTGCTGATCCCAAAGTCCAGAATAAACCATGCTCGGAATTATTTTAAGTCACTGTGGAGCTTTTTCCGACCACCTCTAACATGCTCTCCTTGTATCCTTGACATCAAGAGAATTTACTCCAATTTGTTCGGTCTGACCTAAATCAATTTTATTATGCCTCTGTGCTGGCGACAGCAGTGGCCAGAGGTATTATGTTCTCAGGTTGTACGTCCATCCACTGTCTGGTCCAATTCTCATGAACACAAAAGCCCAAGAATGCCTCAAGGACCCTAGGCAAGAAGCCCACAGAGGCCCAGTCCTGACTAACATGATCCAAGTGTCATACAGTGGCTATAGGGGGCTCTAATTAGGGTTTTCATGAGTGGTGCCTTTATGGGACGTTTACAGGGATTTATAGTTATATAGTTATGAAATATGCCATCATGAATGGTTATCGACCTTCTGCTAAGTCCCACCCTTTTGTGATCGTCTGACAAGCTGTCAGAGTAAGCATGGAGCCCACACTGTAACTAACTGCACTCCCTGAAGAAATATTATCCTATTTTTGAAAAATGAAACAGAGAAACAGACAGAGGGGTCTACAGTCTATGTTTGAAGGATATATCCAGGATGTCAAACTGACTCAGCAGCAACAACAGGTTAAAAAGACAAAGATAGTTAGAAGCTAAAGCCGAACTATAGGCTACAGATCACAGTGTAAAAGTGAACCACCACATCACTGCTGATCGCCACAGAAGACAATTAATATAAAGGGAAACTTTGCTGATATTGAACCAGCTGTGTGGCATCACAGTGTGTGCAGATGAACAGTGTTTGGCTTCCCCCCCTGTGCTCGGACCTCAGCCGCCTAGCAGGGATCTCTGGGGGAAGTCAAACAACATTCATCTGCACACACTTCGAGGACACACAGCTGGTTCAATATCAGCAAAGTTTCCCTGCTTCCCTTCACTGGTTCCTGTACAGCAGGGTCAGTCTTTTTTTCACTATTATAATCATTAAAAAGCAAAAGCAGCATGTGTATACATTCAGTAGGCTATATCTTCAGTAGCTAGCTAGCTAACCCTACACTTTTCAGGGTTTGATTTTGGTTTTGGAACAGGGAAGAAACGTATAACTTTTTCTGACCTCTCCAGGTAACGAGTATCATTAATACACGACGTGCCCCAGGCACAACATTTAGCTCCAAATCCACAAAACCAGCCTGAAAATGAAGGAAATCTGAGATGATTGCATTAAAGTCAATGGAGCACAGCTGTGTTGTTGTCGGACCCTGATCTGAACCAGCCCAGTGCTACGTTATGATTGGCCAGTTGAGCGAGACTTAGCTAAGCGTAAACATTTTTTGTGGGGCCTCAAACATCTGCCTAGTTTGTCTCTCCCGAAGTGCGCCCATGTCTACTGTCATGGCTACATATGGGTCTGGACAGAAAACTTGACAGGTTAATGGAGTCATACAACGGATAGGCAGTAATTCTAGTTCATATGGTGTTAACTCATAACAAAAGTAGACCATACTCTAATTTACAGACCCAACAGTTCCCAACATGAGCAAGCACTTTGGGACAACGGCAGAGAAACCTTTAGCAGAACCAGCCTCAAGCTGGATGTCCTTCTGCCTTGACAGGTTGGGTTGAGAGAGAGAAAGAGATGCACAGCAATAATAATAGTTACAGTAGCTGACTTTATTTGTAAGTACAATTGTACATAGATTTTGAGTTTAACCTTTGTTTATCACAGCAGTGGTGGTTTTGCTCATCTCAATGTCACAACCTGGGCATATGCCTATTCACACCCTATACAATGTGGTGGCTTGAAAATGCAAACATGAACTTTAAGTACAGTGTTGGGTCAGAAGGAGAAGAGAATGTGTACACCTACCAGTGAAAAAGATCATCCCTCTCCATACCGAGGATTATGTTTTCATCTGGGATTACAGATGGTAATATTACGATCGCGGCACTGGCTTGGGTCTTAATGGTAATGGGTTAATACTCGGGATTTAACTCTATTTAAAAGCCTTCCACCAAGTCGTATCCAGTACACATTTGGAGTAGTGTCAATCGGGATTGTCATCTCCACTGCGCACACAATAGTTTCATTCAAGAAGCACTGAAAGGTTATCAGAGTAACTTTCTGTGCTGTTGTACATTTTATTTAGTTTTCAGTTGTGGGCTCTTTCGCTTTTTTTGTATTGTTTTCCACGACTTTCAGCTGCTGAAGCGGACTCAAAATCAGACGCTACTGACACTGCACTGGTAAGACTTTTATGGCAGAACATTAATTCCTGTGCTTGCAAGATTTGTTTATATTGATGCCTTATGTTCTTGACCGATGTTTTGTTTGTTGCATATTGTATATTTCTTTTATACATTTGTGTGCTAAATAGTATTTAGTTCTTGAAGGTGAACAAAAAGGCAAATATTTTAAGATTTTGTATTCATTTTCTTCCATGAACAAGCATTTTATCTCAATTCGTTGGCAAAATAATATTATTATTGATTACATGTTGCATTCATTGGTCATACATTGGTCCCTGACATGACTTTCAGGACTTTTATTGTGATAGGAGGGTGTGAGAGCTTTTAGAAATAATTACTTACACACAAAATAAACGATTGTAAATCAATTAGTCATGCCGTGTTACCTTGAATTTGTTGTTTTTCTCGCATGCAAATGGTGAACATATTTATTTACTGATAGACTGCGGACCATAGGGATCGCCAAAAAACTGAAAAAAACATAGATAGGTTTTACTTTAACTTCTGTTTTGTTAAAAATGCATGTGTTTGGGGAGAACTGAGGATATGACTGAATAAATGAGATTTAGATTAGACTGCATGAGCTGTGTGAGAGTTTGTAGACAGATATTTTTTATAGTTTTGCGGTCGTCAAACGTGGCACCCAATCTAACAATAAATAAATACGTTTGCTGTTTTCCGAGGAGGCATGCTAAAAAAGTATTCTTTATGAATTCAAGTTAATCCAGCATCAACATCTGATATACAAAGGGGCATCTTGTGAGTGAAGTGCTCCTTTAAAATTTACATTGGCCAATGAGCCCAAATGATGGAGGACAACTATAGGATAACACCATCTATAAGTTGTGACTGTTTCACTATTTGCTTTTTTTGGCTGATGTTCAAAAGGAGGCCCCAGGACATGAGCAAATCCTCAACATAATGAGTTCCTCACAGCGTGGACCAATGGACGAACAGCATTACTCCTGTCCTGTTAAAACCAGACAGATCAAAACTTCCCCTGCAGGTTAGGACAGCAAACACACACAAAAAAAACATCTGCATTGTGTGTGTCCTTTTGTAGATTGACTGCTGATTTTTTCACCCCTGCTCCCCACAGGTTCACACTCTGAGGGGCAACACCTTGATGAACTGCGGGTGTCACTGCCAGGGTTTATTTACCAGGTACTAGACTAGATCCTGTAAAGGGCTGTAAAAGGCACCTGCAGAGGTAGTGTGATGATTAATCCATTCAAATGTGACTTGTTTTTTCAGGAACCCGGGAGCCATAACCATCACGGCTCTGCACCTCAGATTTCTCTGACAGAGAGTACACCGGATAGAAACAGGAAGCTTCTGTTCGTACCAGACAACCAATTACAGGTTCCTTCTGAGCCTGAGCACTCCAAGTCTATAGAGGTCTGTCCTACTGTGCCATTCTAGTTACTTAATGATTACAGGTTTCTTCCACAGTGCAGTATGTGTAATTAGATGTTGTTTGCCCTCATTTGTTCAAATCTTTACCTCACTGTGTTTGTTGAATAGGAAGAATCACCTGATGAACAACTGAAGTTCATGAATATGATCAGCCGTGGCCAGCGAGGGCGCATGGACGACCAGAGCTGTTCCATTGATCCTAGCAAGAGTGCACCCTGCACACCCAAACACGCAGACAGAAAGTCTGCTGCAAGTACATCCAACACAGGTAAAAAATTGGCTGTACTTATAAATCTGTCTCTGTATATATTTCCAGTGATGTGCTGCAAGTCTTGAAATTGCCTCTTACTTACCATTTCTTCTTGATAGAAATGTAGTACACTGTCAATCATTACACAGCTATTTCACCTATTTTCACATTTCATCTTCCCCGGTCCAGATCCTGAATCCTTCTTCAGCCTCTTGGCCAACACTCAGAGCCAACGGCTCGACGACCAGCGGGTGTCCCTTCCATCACTGCCAGGATTGCAAGGAAAGGAAAATGCCAAATCAACTGCAGAGGGAGATTCAAGCTACCTATGTTACATGGTCTCCAAAGTCCAGGTTAGTGCTTCCTTTTACAAAGACCAAAGATTTATATATTTTAAAAAGCTGTTGATCGAAAGTACCAAAGTAGTATACAACTCTGGCTTTAAATGTTGCACAAATATAAAACTAGAATGTGGGCAAAATATTACACAGATAAAATGTAATTTATAGGATGCTACAAAGCTGTAAACACAGCCATAAATGTACAGAGGGCATTGTCACTCTTCTCAATAGCTTGAGTGTACAGTGCTTCAAAGTCAGTCATGTCATAACATGCCAACATCTTAAAGGGATAGTTTGGAGTTTTTGAAGTGGGGTTGTATGAGGCACTTATCCATACTCAGTGTGTTACATACAGTTAGTGTCGGTCAGCTTGCCTCCAGTTTGGAGAAGCAGGCAGGAGCACCAACGCAGAAACTCAGCAATATACTGCTCCAGATGGGGTCAGCAGCAAAACTTATTTTAGCCACCTAAAATACGCCCCACCTAAAAAAATCAACAGTTTAAGTGGAAGCCATATTTTGAATATTTCCACACTTACAAAAACAGTAATTTAACATTGATGAACACAGGAGCTGCTGCCTCCATCAGTTAGCTTGTTTGTGTGATTGTGTGACATTCAAAAGGGTTAGTTCA